CTACCAGGTAGCCGGATGTAGTACAAATGTTTCCTCAGCAGGCACAGAGAGCACATCGTCAGAACTAGAGCACTGACACTTCAAGACGAGCGGAATCCTCTAGAAGTGAAGACGCTCTTTCAGCGACCCTGTAACCTCGACAAGGTGATCCCTGCCATGCAAAGTCAGGAGAATGATCCGGTGGAACAACTCTGCAGCAAAGAATCTAGGTTGGCCGTAGTCACAGGCGAGATTGGACCATCTGTACCTTTAGAGACTGCTCAACAGGCGTTCAGGGCACCCTCGATTGTCTCGAGGAAACCGGCTTCTCGGCAAAATCCAGCAAAAGAAGTCGGCATGGGAACACTGCCACCATCCTACTCGCCGTAAATATTGATGAATCAACATCCTCGAATATTTTGCGACATTTCACGTAGTCTTCAAGCAAGAATGTAGAAAACTTCCAAGGAAGATTTTCCATCAGAACTTTGACTATTTCGACCTGCCTATAACGGTGGAAGTCAGCTAACATTGACAAAGTCGCTTTCTAACCCTCGCACATTTGAAGGGCTAGAGAAGGCGGCGCATTTCGTCACTCTCGAAAACTGTCCATTTTTTTACTCGCGAGAAATGACAAAGTGCTTTGTCGCATCGCCTTGTTTCACACGAGAGACGCGAGCTTTACGGTTGAAGTACATTCGACTTTCGAACGTCTGTTTATCCATGGACTGTAAGCATTGATCTTGCTATGTTTGCGTTGGGTGGTCTGTGTTTGTTGCCTTTTTTTGGCGTAACTGTCCAGAATGGGGGACGAGTGCAAACACTTTGGCGCAAACTTAAATATCAGCCTTTCATTTGTGATGACATTCGTGACGGCATCTTTAGCTGCTGGACTAGCCGATTAATGTGTCTTCGCATCATGTGATGATTCTTCTTTCGTGTATGAGACGCTGCTATCGTGTAAATAAAAACATGGGAATTTAGTATCTCGCAACTGACCATGCTATGTACCATTACATCTTCTTGGCCACTTACGAAGTGCACCTATAATATCAGCCTTTGATTTGTTTCAAGTTTGTCACAATAAATAGCGCCTCAAGAGTACATCAGATATTTAGTTTTTGTATCACTGATGCAAAGTTTAAGCTATGGCATACATCCATATTGTTAGTTTTAACACGAGACGATAGTTCATGGGGATACTGAGCGATGACTGCCTGATAGTTTCTTGAGACCAGCGAAAACTCGCACCCTTGCAACCTCTAATTTGACTCCTGCAATCGATCCATACCTCCTACATCTTTGGCACGCTCGCCGCGGGCTCATAAGGCGCTGGAAACGCAACAAACGTAATCGGAAACTTCGCGCTGGCATTGAGGCGCTCACTGCAGAGGCGGCCGCATACTCCGCACAACTTTCCGGTGCTAACTGGGCAGACACCTGTTCGAAGGCTGCAAACCAGATGAGCTCTAAGAGTGCGTGGCGACTCTTTAGAAGCCTTCTCGATCCCTGCACCACCAGGGGAGAAACGCAACGCCAGCTCCACCATGTTCTGCATGCCTTTCAGGGCACTACGGATGAACTCGCGCGAGAACTTGGTGACCGCTACATCTGCCGCACAATTGATCCCGCATGCCCAGCATATACGTATTCCGGCGCCCCTAACACCGACCTCGACACCCCATACACGCTTTCTGATTTACGATTTGCACTCACGAAAATGCGACTGGGCACGGCTTCTGGACGCGACGGAATCACAGTATCGCTCCTGGCAAATCTTCCCGACCAAGCACACCTCTCGCTACTCCACCTTATAAATTCGATATGGGATGGCTCTCCGCTTCCAACGGAATGGACCACATCGGTCGTGACATTGATTCCCAAATCGGCAAAGTCCGTTAGTATTGAGGCACTGAGACCCATCTCACTTACGTCTTGCGCAGGCAAACTCATGGAAACCATGGTTCGCGAACGCCTTTCCGCCTACTTGGAGGCCAGAAGGACCTTTGCCGACACAATGTTTGGCTTTCGCCCGCATCTGTCGGCGCAGGACGTCCTGCTCCAGCTTCAACACGATATCATAGAGCCGACTACTATGCGCCATGACGACAAAGCCGTGCTCGCTCTCGATCTCCGCGGGGCGCTCGACAGCGTCAAACACAGCACTACTACTCACTAACCTGTCTACCACAAACTGCGGGCAGAAGACTTTCAACTACATTAGCGCCTTTCTATCACATCGCATCGCCTTCATTCGCCTTAATTCTACCGACCATGGCCAGTACTATTAGGCACGCGGGGTACACCTCACAGGTGGCAGTCCTGTCTCCTCTGCTTTTTAACCTGGCGATGATGAACCTCTCCTCTCTTCTAAGCGAGGTCGAGGGAATACAACACGCACTATATGCGGACGATATCACAATCTGGACCAACACCGGCTCCTTAGCGCAAATCGAAGAACGCCTGCAAAAGGCTGCCCTTCTAGTGGACACCTACGCAGGTTCATGCGGCCTGGAGTGCTCTCCAGCTAAATCGGCTCTTCTTTTAGTCTCTCCGCTACCGCCGCCTCAAATTTTTCTTCCGTCCGGGCCCGTCCCGTCAGTGCAAAATATTCGGGTTCTTGGCCTTCCCTTCACATGGTCCTTGGATCCAAAGGGCACAATAGCAGGCCTCAGACGCACCAGCGAACAGGTGAGCCGCATGATACGGCAAGTTTCTGCCAAGCGCGGCGGCCTCCGCGGGTCTCAGTCCCTCCGATCAGCCCACGCGTTTGTGACCAGTCGCGTCCTCTACGCCTTGCCTTACCTTCGCCTGCGTCGTCGGACACCGAGCACCAGCTGGACGTCCTTCTTCGTTCAGCATACGACGCGCTCTGGACCTACCTATTGCAACTTCCAACAGCCGATTCGCGGCTCTGGGGGTACACAACACCTTTGCAGAGATGGGCGAAGCTCATCGCGTTAACCAAATCAATCGACTGTCGCAGACGCCTTCAGGACACCAATCTTTACACAGACTTGGCCTTAACCCAATCTCTGACCAAGACCCTCTGCAGCGGTACCAGAGCTCTGGCGTCAAAAGCAATGGGTGGAACCTCTAACCGGTAATATGAACCCCGACCTCCATCTGGCATAGACTAGCACGCGCCGCGGCCATTCATACGCGAACTCCGATCGTCCTGGTGTTTTCTACGTGGACGTCTCGGGTCCCTCCCTCTCGGGTCACTTCCCGGCTGCCGTAGATTACAGAGGGCAAACACGTAGATGGCCTCTCCTTTCGAGCAGACAACAGTAACGCCACGCTGAAGAGGTTGCCATAGCTTTGGCCGCCTCTCACCCTGCCTCACGTACCATCTGACGGATCGCGCTCCGGCCTGTTCTCAGTACCTTCAGGGTTCATTGCCCCGCTGGTGGGCTAGCTACAACAGGCAGCCTCTTGGCGCTTTTAACCCTCATCCCATTCGTATAGTCTGGACCCCAGGCCACTCGGGCCTGCCGGGAACGAGGCGGCAAATGCCGCTGCCCGCGCTTCTCTTGTCCGGGCCGTTGCCCCTCCATGTCCGAGACCGAATCTGGCAATACCAACCTGGCGCGCTTTCGCGAAATTTGGCTTATTACCGGGCTTCGCGCCGCCTCTGCCCGGACCCCGCACGCGGTTCGGAGAAAGCGGACGAACGACTGCTACGCCGCCTGCAGGACGAACACCTTTATCAGTCCGGCAGTCGCCAGGCACTTTTTGCCGGAAATCAATGGCACCCTGCTCGACCCTGTCATGTCCTTGCCGACACATATCACGTCGTAGCATCATGCCCAGTTAATCCCGGTTCTTTCTCAATCCCCTTTTTCCTATCCAACTAGAGAGGCTTGGGAGGAGCACCTGCTCGGCTGCTCTACCTTGGCTGCACAACCCTCCTTGGTGGAGCGCGCACGGGCAGCTTCCAGCTCCACTGGCGTCCCGGAATAGGGTCTTGCCACTCTAGCACGCCGATGGGCCACGTCGGCACTCTCTGTAGACTTTTTCTGAAATAAATGTTTTTTTACCACCACCACCTGGTCGCGCCGGTCGTGCTTGGAGTCAGACTATAGAGCGCTCGCGTTTCGCTAACGTAGCATGGCTGTTCCCATCGTGCGCGCACGTCATTGTTACGTTGGAGTATATTGGGCCTTTCATGATTTCACATGAGGCCGTTTCGCTAGATCCACGTACATAAAATTTGGTGTTATGTTACGTCAATGGATGACGAAGGTATATGACTCGTGCAAACATGATAATCATGAGACGCGTGCTATGTAAGAACATGACAACATACTACGCTCGTAGCGTGCTCGCGGCCGTTTAGCTAGCTCCACATATACTAAATTTGGCATCACGTGACGTGATTAGATGAAGAAGGTAAACGACACATCCAAACGTAATCATGCCACAGAAGTGTGTACCGCATAATTACCTCCACCTTTCACCTTGTTGATGATTTGAAAGTGGCATATCAACCTTCCTCATTCGTGCTTCGCATATCATCGATTCCCACTGAACGTGGGATCTGCCTTTGTTTTTCTTTTTTTTTTCTACCAAGGTGCTGAAGCCAATTGACAAACGAGAGCAAATTTCTGACTGTTCAATAAAGTTTTCAATCAGTCAACCACATTCCATTAAAAGGCGGGCGTTTGCACAGGCATTGAAAGAAATAAAGTAGGCGTGGCACGTACGAACAAGCACCCACACAAACACTATCGCCTTCCTAATCACTGGCCTCCCTTAAGTTCGTGCAAACACCCTCCGGTTCCTACCTTTATTTCTAGAATTTGTGATCACGGCCATCGCTGCTTTCAAGCTGCCAACCGAAAATTCTGCCAGCCCCGACATCAAAATTTCTACGACACGAGCTCTCTTCAACGTTATCATGGTAATACTTTACTGCGATGACCCAAGTTCTAAAGTCGAACGGCTTGAATTGAGGCTCGTGTTACATGCGATAGCAGAAAACGATTCATTTCGTTATCTTTCTCAGTTGGTATATATGCAGCATTGGCGCATGAAACCACCAAGTACCGATAGCTTCGTTGAATTATGCGGCCAGTGCATTCTCTCGTGTGTCCGTAAAGTATTCGCGTCTGAATTCACATCACCATGGCCGATCTTGTCCGAGTGCACCGTTTTCGCGACATCCCCATCAAAGGCGTAAACTGGCAACCGACTCACTTTGTCGACGAAGTGCCCATTTCCCGCTTGTGTGGACTGTGCCTCATGATTCCGAAGAGGACCGTGCGGTTGCCATGTGCGCACTTTCTATGCGAATCGTGCCTCGCGGTTAATTCCCAAGGCGGCGGTGGGCGTTGTCCGTTGGATGACAAGCCGTTCGAAAAAGCGCGATGTGCCAGTTACGATATGCCCATCGGAACAGCAAAGGCCTTGCAGGTGAGAAAGCAGCGTCAGTCGTTTTTCACAAAAATTTTAACATTACTGCTTTAAATGGGAGAAATGAAGCTAAGCCTACTTCCCGTGGCTTTAGCCAAACATAAAGAAAAATATAAGCCTCTAAATATGTCACTTTTGCCAAACTCGCATAATTTCTCACCGCACAGTGTCGATGCCGAGTGTTGCTTCATTTTATTATTTATCCAAGGATGCATGATACAAGTTACTATCACATTCTTCACGTGGTACATTGTTCACTATCTTACGGGCAGACAGTCAAATATGCACACTTAGGGATCGCTGTTGGGACAAGACTTTTTAACTGTAGACGCGTTTTTCTTCTTCTTCCTAAGCCTGATCTCTGCTGGCGCTTCTCGTGGCGTAGATATAGATATACTATAGCGTAGATTCTGTAGATATACTATAAAGATTATGTGTTTGAGCATTGCTAGACACAGAGGGTTATTTGTACAATGCTTTTTCTATACACCGAATAATAAGGTAGGTGGTTGGCTTCAATCATTGATACAGAAGGTTAACGTGAATCTTGCATAGGCACTATCTTCTTTCTTCTTTTTCGATGAAGGTTTACTGCTGGAACGAAGCCCAAGGATGCAAATTCGAGGGCGCCTTGAAAGACATGCTTCGACACTACAACAACAATTGCCTATTCCGCTCATATGAAGGTTCGAAATGCGGTGAAGCAGTCCCGAACAAGAACGTCGGACCTACCAGGTAGCCGGATGTAGTACAAATGTTTCCTCAGCAGGCACAGAGAGCACATCGTCAGAACTAGAGCACTGACACTTCAAGACGAGCGGAATCCTCTAGAAGTGAAGACGCTCTTTCAGCGACCCTGTAACCTCGACAAGGTGATCCCTGCCATGCAAAGTCAGGAGAATGATCCGGTGGAACAACTCTGCAGCAAAGAATCTAGGTTGGCCGTAGTCACAGGCGAGATTGGACCATCTGTACCTTTAGAGACTGCTCAACAGGCGTTCAGGGCACCCTCGATTGTCTCGAGGAAACCGGCTTCTCGGCAAAATCCAGCAAAAGAAGTCGGCATGGGAACACTGCCACCATCCTACTCGCCGTAAATATTGATGAATCAACATCCTCGAATATTTTGCGACATTTCACGTAGTCTTCAAGCAAGAATGTAGAAAACTTCCAAGGAAGATTTTCCATCAGAACTTTGACTATTTCGACCTGCCTATAACGGTGGAAGTCAGCTAACATTGACAAAGTCGCTTTCTAACCCTCGCACATTTGAAGGGCTAGAGAAGGCGGCGCATTTCGTCACTCTCGAAAACTGTCCATTTTTTTACTCGCGAGAAATGACAAAGTGCTTTGTCGCATCGCCTTGTTTCACACGAGAGACGCGAGCTTTACGGTTGAAGTACATTCGACTTTCGAACGTCTGTTTATCCATGGACTGTAAGCATTGATCTTGCTATGTTTGCGTTGGGTGGTCTGTGTTTGTTGCCTTTTTTTGGCGTAACTGTCCAGAATGGGGGACGAGTGCAAACACTTTGGCGCAAACTTAAATATCAGCCTTTCATTTGTGATGACATTCGTGACGGCATCTTTAGCTGCTGGACTAGCCGATTAATGTGTCTTCGCATCATGTGATGATTCTTCTTTCGTGTATGAGACGCTGCTATCGTGTAAATAAAAACATGGGAATTTAGTATCTCGCAACTGACCATGCTATGTACCATTACATCTTCTTGGCCACTTACGAAGTGCACCTATAATATCAGCCTTTGATTTGTTTCAAGTTTGTCACAATAAATAGCGCCTCAAGAGTACATCAGATATTTAGTTTTTGTATCACTGATGCAAAGTTTAAGCTATGGCATACATCCATATTGTTAGTTTTAACACGAGACGATAGTTCATGGGGATACTGAGCGATGACTGCCTGATAGTTTCTTGAGACCAGCAATCTGTTGTACTCCCTTGTTGTATTTGTTGTACTGCAGGCAATCTGTTGTAATCTGTTGTACTGCAGGCTCAAAAAGGGAACCAGGCCGCAGGAATACAGTGGTGCAATTATATACAAATTCCAAATCCGGACGAAGGCGGTCTGTCGGTGACGTCAAAAAATGGGCGGTCCGCAGCGGTCGCGAGGACGAAGGGAAGTGAACAGCCAATGAGCGAAATGAAGCCTCGCGTCATCATTTTGACGTGGACTAGGGGACCGTATAGCAAAGTGAAAGGTGTTTGTAACGTGTTGAAAAATGTTTAACTACTATTAATCATTATCAAATTGTGTTGGCACAAGTTTTCAAACGTTTATTAAGGAATACGGCACAATATAAACGTATTTTTCTTGTTATTGTTATGAAATAACGCTAAATTTAGCGGGACGGTACGTGGTGGCGCTAAGTACAACCCCGTTTCAATCAGTTACTGTTTTCATATCTCCTCCACTATACCAACCTAAACGGCGCAACTTTCGAAGTTGTTGGCTCAGTCGAGCGCAATCGTGGCGGAGGTCAACTGTACCAGTAGTCAACAGCAGCAGCGGCTCATCGTCGTTATCCGAGGCTCAGCGCACGCTGGTGCTCGCCTTTATGGACGAACATCCCCAGCTCGTGGCGAATGCCATCGAGCTGCGGCACGGCGTCACCATCACCGACCGGTGGCGGCTATGGCAAGAGCTCAGCGACGTGCTGAACCATGAAGTGCCTGCGCAGGAATGGCAGGCTTGGTGGCGCAGGCCGGTGCACGAGGCCCGCCGTGACACCGCCGCCATCAGAGACGCACAAACGTGAGTGACCGTCGAATGGCACGGACAATTTGTTCTGTCACATTAGTGTATATTTTCAGGGGCACTGGAGGGGGTTGGCTGCCTGGCTTCCGCGGCCGGGTTCAACAGTTGACTGGAATGAGACGCTTCAGTGGCGTTTTTGGTCTCACCTATCAACAGGTAAGCACTCTGCCGCCGCAGTATCACGGGTTCCTGAGCGGTACCATGACAGAGTTTGATATCTGAAGGGGTGCCTTTAGCGGAACCTTGTTAAACGGGAATAAAGCGCATGAGAAAGTAATCAAAAGTGGGTAGGTTTAACTAAAATCTCAGTTTGCAGCCCTTGCAGTACAAGGGGTATTAATTTATCATAAAACACGCAATGACTGCGGGCAAGTGCATGCACTAAAATGGTAATACATGACATCAATGACCACTGAATAGCTGCAAAACATTTCTGCAGATGTTTAGTACTTAAGGTTGCAAAATAGCCAGAGTAACGAATACCCACTTTCTGAAAGATCATGCTTACTACACTTTCCAGCAGGCGAATGTTCCCACTGCTGCAGTGGAAATGGATGTGGAGGCCACTGAAGCGGCTGTAGATGGCAGTGACACAGTAACACGCAAGCATCTGAGAACTTAGTGCTTTATTGAGTGCAGGACTGGAACCTTGAGCAGGGCGACAAGGTGCTCAAGGTGAGTAGACCCTTTGTTTACATTTTACATAAGAGGCATAAGCATTCTCCATATTCTATTGTGATGACTGAAACCAACTTGGGCTGTAAACAAGAACCATGCATTGTATTGAGGGCATGGTATCGGGTATCTGCAATGATAAACTGCCGGGCAAAAGTTTGGTTAGCTCTGGGGCTCTTTCATGGTGAGAGATGCATTTGAGGACATTAATAAAGAGCACTTTCAACGAATGTTTGTAGGTCCGCACGAGGAGGCCATAGCTTGTACACAAAGCTTCCCACTTTCAAAGGATGCCATCAGGCCAGTTGATCTTCAACTGAGGGGAAATTGTTGTGCCCGTTGCAATTCTTGGCAGCAGGAGCAGCTTCCAGCCACGAGATGGTTAAGGGTTTACTGGCAGCTCACTTAAACATTTACACCATGACGATTCATCGCAGGTGCTGTGGAAGATGAAAAATCAACCACCCGCATCGCTTCTGCAGCACGGCGTGTGACAGCGGCACAGGAGAAGGCGGCAGCGGTGCAGGAGGGCACTGGCCATGGCTGAGGGCTTTCTGCGAGAAAGGGATACGTAGTTTAGTTTAATTTTTCGTCATGCGTTCAATGTTTTTTCTTGTCATCATTCATTAATAATTTGTCGGTTTCAATGTGTTAGATGCTGCTGTTCATGTTCAATTTTATACGCTTCGGGAGACATATACATAGTTTAGTTTGTTTTTCGCCATGTTTTCAACTTTTTATCATTCATAATTGGTTTAGTGTTTTTGATATGTTTACGTGTTGCTGTTCATGTTCTATTTTATTCGTTTTTTGTTTGCATTTAGTACATATTACTAGATTTAGGTTAGCATTTACTTTGTACAAGGAGTGCAGCATTTTTTATGTTCGATATATGCATTTCTCAATGTATGTTCGAGCTGTTCTAGTGGCAGTGTTTTTTACCCACATTTCAAAGGTGTCTAGTCATTCACACGGAGACCACGAGTGTATAGTTGACATTTTCTGTTAATGTTTCTGTGATATTTGTATTGTCCCACTGTGTTTTCTAGCTCACTGTGTTTTCTAGCTCACTGTGATTTTTATTCAGCATTACCACATAGTGTAGTAATGTGATATCTTTTTGCATCACACTGTTTTGCAGTTCACTGTGATATTTTCATTTCAGCACAATGAGGCTAAGATGCAACAACTACATTCTGAATCTTGTTTGGGAGCGCTAAGCTAGTAAGTGGTCATCTCGCACAGTTTCACAAAGGAAAATGGTCATCACAGCAACATGCCAGCGATTGATCTCATCTAGTTTTCGTTGTACACGACTCTTTGCGGGAATAAATTTCGAACGTGGTATGGTTTGGGAGCTGCGAGATGGCTGAGCGAATTATTCATGCTGTATGTTATCAAAACAACTCGCCTGTTGTTTGCCGTCTTGATTTGCGTATTTTTTAGCATTGCAGCATGACTGCAGTGGTGAATTCAAATTAAATGTTATTTTAACATTCACACAATGTTTAGGACAATGAGCAAAAAAACAGCACAACTTGACGAGCACAATTGCTCGTCAAGCCTGGCGTGCACAATTGAATGCTTGTAGTCAGTCACTATGAGAAGATATAGACTTATGTATCATGTGTTCATACAACATGTTACTAATGGAATCTCGATTTTTATGCGTTCTGGTGAAAAGAATTTGGAGACGTTGCTGCATTGTTCGCACAATTTTGTGATAGCAACATTCAGCACAGAGTGCCGCTCATATATGCTTTCTCCAATCTAGTCTGTTGTGACTGTGATCGCTAATATGGAAAAGGGTGTTTCTGTTGCATATTTCATGTGCCATTTAAAGAAAATGCAGCATTTTGACATTGCCACCTTGCTTCATATTGAAGCACAAGTAAGTACTTTGTGTATTCGAATGTGGCAAACACAGCCCTTTCCTGTCTAGATGCACTAGAATCAGTGTAAATAAATTATGTGTGGGATATGAAAACATGAAAACTCACCGTTCCTGTGTACTTCAAAAAAGGTCCAAGACAGCGTTGCTGCCGTCTCTGAGCAGCACGTTGCGTGGTGTGAGCATATGGCTCCCCCTTGGCTCTCCATCGTCATCCTCAGCTGGTGGCATGTCCACGACATACTCGTCCTAGGTCCAGTCGCCTGCATGCAACGCAATGTTGTGGAGAGCAAAGCAAGCATAGATGATTTGCGCTGCCCGATCGGGGTTGTAGAGCATCGTTCGAAAGTGCTGCAAGCAGCGGAACTTGCTTTTCAACACGGCGATACACCTTTACACAACATTGTGCATGGATGCGTGCTCCTTGTTGTATCGGCCTTCGGAAGTGTTGCACGGTTGACTGCCAAGGACTGGAATTAGGAGCCATGGCTTGAGGGGATAGCCTGCGTCTCCTGCAATGTAAGCATAAAAGCTGAGTGCTCTGCCCAGATAGTACACATTAATACTTACCAAGCAGATAGTCGCCAGGCTGCAGATGTGCAGCTAGGCGTGCACGCAGTGGGTTGTGTTCCCACACCCAGGAGTCGTGGCACGAATCTGGAAATCATGGGTCTATGACAATTATG